GTTCAAGATCTATGACATTTAATAAGATGTAGCTGAATTTATCACTAATTGTTAATGGAGGGTTAGAAGATTTTCACTGGACAACTGGCCATGAATTTTCTCTGAAACAATGGTCTACAATGTTTTGAAAAGCACCACTGTCCCCTTTTCAGACAACATTCTATTTAGCACAATATGTAAAGAACTTTGGTCAATCAACAAGAACAATCAAACATATACGAAGTATTTACAATACCCCCAGTCCATACTATGCATTTTTCTACATAATCCTTCATTCAGTTTTCGTGAATTTTAAGTTTTTTGATGATATGCCTATAAGGTGACAGTTCTTTTGACCCTGTTTGCGGACATGAGGACATGAGACAGGAAGAGCTGCAGCTAATATCTGGTGAAGTCTCACTTAGGAAGTTTGTTCTCAGAGTGGGTCCTGATGGCCTAAGAGATCCTGTCCAAATGGCCCATCTGGAACAGGGATGGTGAGGTAGTGCTAAATTCCAGTCCCTTTCTTCTGTTCTTCTGTGGTGACAGAGGTAGCTAAGTTTCTCTCCCTCCCCCACCCTCCCTGTCATCTTGGAGTTCGGGAATTTGGACAGTTTACCAGGCTGCTGTGTAATATGTCTAAGAAGTCCTCCTTCTTTTACCTTCCAGTATCTCTACCCAGTGTCTGTTGTGCACATTCCATAGGAAATGCAAGCTTATGGTCACACATGTCTTTGAAACTGTCAATAGATGGCAATCATAAAAGATCAGTTATTGGATGATTCCATTTACAGGAAATAACTGGAAGACTCAAATCTATAGAGATTCAATACTGTTTCTATCAGTGATTACCTAGGGCAGACAAGCTGAATGATATGGAGAATGGCAGCTAAGGGGTATGGGGTTTCTTTGGGGGATGATAAAATATTCTATAATTGATCATGATGATTGTTATATATCTCTTTGAATATCCCCAAATCACTGACTTGAATGATTTAAATTAGTGAATTGCAAATCATGGCTTTGTCTCAATAAAGCTGTCACATAAAAATTCAAAAATGAAAACAGAATGTTTCTTTAAAAAGTCATTCAGAGAAGAGGCCTGAGTCTAGTAGAGGAGGCTATATTGAGCCCAAACTCAGGTTTCACAAGGGAGTGCAGTGATAAACTTCCTAGGTAGCCAAGATGGAGTTTTGGGTGAAAGTTAACAAGCATGAAAGTTTGGAGAAACTAGAAAGCAAGGCTTGTTTACATTTTCAGGGAGCCCATCATGTGGGAGAAGGACCAAGAAGACTGGAAGACAAGCAGATGCTAACGACTCTTTATTCCTCACTGAGCATCACTGTGTGTCATAAAGAGGGAAGGTGAGTAGTTTTCAGAATTGGCTTTTGGAATTACCTGGATCTTACCCTAGAGATAAAAGGCTTCAGTGTGTTTTATTCATCAGGATTCTTTAAAGCTCCCTGGAAGAGTCTAATGGAAGTCAGTGGCAAAAATCAGTTAACTTAAAAATATTTATTTATTTTTATTTTATGAATATGAGTGTTTTGTCTGCTTGTATGTAAGTGCACCCATAAGCACAATGCCCACAGAGGCCAAAAGAGAGGGTGTCAGATTCCTGAACTGGAGTTATGGAGTTATTAGCTGCTATGTGGATGCTGGGAACCAAATCAGATCTTCTGCTTCTGACCAGAGCAGCCAGTGCTCTTAACCACGGAGCCATCTCTCCAGCCCCCCAAATTAGTTGGCTTTTTGCTGGAGATGAAGAAAAAAAAATTTTAAGGGTAAAAATGATTGTCCTCTTCAGAGTATATAATTAACAAATGTTTTCTGAACTATCATGGTGGTATACATTGGTAATCCCAGCTGTCAGGAGGTTGAAGCAGAAAGATCAGAAGTTCAAGATCATCTGTGGCTACACAGCAACTTCAAGGGCAGCCTGAGCTACACTAGGGCAACAACAACAATAACAACAACAACAATCGCAAAATGTTTTGTGAGAATTTATAAGGAATATTTGGGGAGCTAAAGATATAGTAGTCAAAAGGACAAGAGCCCCAGGCTCTTGTTTTACACTAGTGGAAACAACTGAGAATAAGCAAGGAACAAGAGCAAGGATTTTCTCATTATGACCCAGGATAAATGATTTGAAGAAAACAATAAGGGATAAGCAACAGCCAGTCATGAAGCCCCATAGACTGGCTGTGCAGGGAAAGTGGTTTTGAGGCGGTGACACTAAACCCTAAAATCGATGTAAGAACTGACTTTGGGAAATTCATGGGAAAAATGGTCCTGTCAGTCAGTGTGTGTGTGTGTGTGTGTGTGTGTGTGTGTGTGTGTGTTGCTGTTGTTGCAGAAAGTAACAGGTAGTAGAAACAACAGACAATAAAGAAGGCAGCAGGCCAAGGGCTCTGTTGTTATGACACGGGATAAATGGCGTAAAGGAGGCAACACATAAGGGGAAATGAATTCATTGTGTGGAAGATTCTTGAATGTGTTTATGTGCAATAGTATTTTTCTTATCCTTGTGTGCTCAGAATCAATGATGCCAAAACGCATGTAATAGCTATGTTATAAATGTCTGCAGAATAAATGAACTAACGAGAGAATGATATCAGCAGAGAATTAATTGTAGGGAAGGGATTGCCGAAAGAATGTTCCAGGGAAATGAAACATGAGGGAATCCATAGCACAGAGGAGAGGCACCTCTGATGTGCAAGAGGGGGTATCGGAAGCAGAGATGAGTTTTCCAGGGCAGGGGCAGGAAGTAAAGTCCTCTCCTGATGGCTGCTATGTTCTTTGCTGGGGAAGAGGAGGTTGATTACTGAAAGAAGGCCAAATGGGCACGGGTGGGTCTTGCAAAGATTGCAGCAGGGCTGAGCACCCAGCTGAGGCTGCATACCGCAGGACCATGGCAGTCCAGTGGCCATGGCTGTGGGATGGTGTGGAGTTCCTGTGGATAACATCCATGAGGGTGTTTACAGATGAATATGGAATGGTAACTCAAGGAAATGAGCCAGCCAAGATGGAAGGAAAGACCGAGATTGACATTAAAGTCTAGACTGGGAAGGAAGTCTTGAAAGGAAGCCAAGAAGGAGCTCAAAGATAAGAAGAGGAAGGAACAAGGCAACAAACCTCTAATGAGTCCAGAAGGACAGTGGGAAGAACCGGGTGGTAAGAACGGAAAGTAGAGGGATTTCCTAGTTACTCTCTAGTTAAGCACTATACAAGCCGAAGTGCTTTAAATGTAGCAGAAGCCAGCTTTTATTGAATAGACTATCCCCAAAGAAAGGCTAAGGCTTTTATGTCCATGATTCCATTTAATCCTCATATCATATCATAATCCCCATTTTACTGTTGTGAACACTGAGACTTACTGAGGTTAACTACATTGCTTATGTTTTTGTAGCTAAGAAGAAGAAATTGTATCTGGTGGATGAAGCTTAAATGCCCTAAACTACTGACCTATACTGATAGAAACATTTTTCTTGTTGAACAATAGCATAAGATTCCTGCATCCTTTTCTTGTAAGCTGCTTCTCAGGGCTAGTTTTGTCAACCCATTCGGTATTTCAGGATGAAGTCCAAGTTTCCGACAGTGACACATGAGGTGGGTCAGAGTCCACAGTCTCCTCTGGGGATATAGGCTCACACACACCATGTATTCCTGCTGGCTCCACTGTTTTCAGTTGTCTGAATGCAGCAAGGCAGCTTCTGTGCGTAGTGCTGTCTGTGATGGTGATGCCATTCCTCCCTTTCTCTTCCTGAATGACTCCTTCAAATCCTTCAAAGTCGAGAGTCCCCGTCACCTGAGCCTCTGAGCCAAAGGAAAAGAGCACATGGGTATATCATCTTTGTAGATCTCTACTATAGCTCTCCTTGTCACATTGAATTCTGTCATGCTATGGACTGCACGCTCGGGCCTACTCCACAAGGCCACAGTTCCTGTCCCTTTGTTCTAGAGTTCCTCCATTATTTGTTTGCTTGTTTTTCAGACAAGGTCTCACTTCACTCTGTAGTCAGGACTGCCCTCAAACTTGTGACAATGTCTAATGCTGCCTAAGTGAGGAACTAGGCTTTTTTTGGGGGGGGAGGCAGGATTATTGGAGATAAGAGATCAATTACAGAACTATATCTCCAGCCCTCACCATCTTGAAGGAACTAGAAAAAGGAAAGAAAATGGTTTTGATAGCGTTGGTGGTAGTCATTGGGTTGGTAGTCACCTCAAGAATCTTTGACTTGTACCTCTGAAGCCAGAGCTAAGCTCCAAAGTATCTTTTCAGTGTCTGATAAAGGGCAAAGAGTACACAATTAAAAAGTGTCGTCAATAAATTCAAGATATCTGTGGGTATCACTGACCCAGTCATTATTCTATTAAAATGAATTCTAACACTTTTATAATTACAAAATTGAGGCAATTATACGGTTGCTTTGTATTAAAATTGTGATATTAAGTTAAGGTGAGTCACTCAGTAAAGACTGGATGTCAAAGGAGAGAGCAAGACTCACTTTCTGGTTAGCTGACTGGGCAAATTGTGTGTGTGTGTGTATATATATTTTTTCCTGCTTCTATTTCCTTATATGTAACATGGTAACAACAAGGCAGGCTCCCCCCACATTTTGGGAGGCCAAATAACAGCATAGTTGTGAAAACCTTTTTGAACATTGTAACATGTTCAAGGAGAAAAAATATGGTGGTGATATACAGAAACTTTCTAGAATGTGCACCCGGCCGGCCCTATTCAATCACCTGGAAAGGCGAGTTCAGGGATCCGTCAACATCACACAGAAAGTTCTTCAAGAAAAGGCAGAATGAGTCTTACAGAACGAAGGGGAAATGCAAAGCAAACTTCACAAGGACTCTCCTTGAAAGATGAAAAATTAACCCGGCGCGGTTGGGGGTGGGAATGTGAGCGGTGGTGCTGGACGCTGGGTTTTCAGCGTCCGGACACTTTTCCTTCCCTAAAGCCATTTTAGTCAAAGGTCATGTGTGTGTCTTGTCAAAGGCCAGCTTCCAATGGAATCACTGTCCCCCGGGATAGCGGCCCCCTGACTCCATCTGCATTGGAGAAATCCCAAAAGCAAACGGCCCAGTGCAAACAAGCGCAGTGGGGAGCAGCGGTCCCGGGCTTAGCTCCCAGGTCCCGGGCCTGCAGCCCAGGCCGCGTCCCTAGCTCCCGGGACGGAGCCAGGCACCCAGACGCCGCAGCATGAGCCGCCACGCCGCCGATCGGGTACGGTAGGCGCCCCTCTGCGGTGCTCCCAGGCTGGGGCTCCCGGGTCCACGCCGCTGCTCGGTGCAACTGGGAAACCTTGCAAAGGGGCCTCCGCAGCAACCGGAAAACGGTCCTAGTTGGGCTGCGTTCCGGTGCACTCAGCTGCAGCGAGTTCCAGGCGCACAAATGCGGAGCTTAACTAATTTCTAGTAGTCGCTGCCAGAGACTCTTTGGCTTTGCAAAGGCGTATCTCGTTTCCGGAAAACGAGCCGGTGGAAGTTGCAGAGGGGCTGGGGACGAATTTGCTTCCCACCGCTCGCGCTGCGGGGAGGGGGCGAGCCCCCTTGGCCACAGCCAGCTGCAGGGGGCTGTGTGCAGCCGCCTGGCACAGATAGTCTGCTGGGCTTCTTGTTTATCACCCTTTGGACAAGCGCTTGGCAAGACCGGGGAATTTTAAAGCAATTTCAGTAGCGTTCCCTCGGCCCCTACACTTGCCCCAAGAAGACAGATCATTTTCCGGGTAGAGGAGCCCCTCCGCACACCAGATCTGTAGTAGCAAGTCTCTGACCCTTTGTACTTTTCTATTTAAACAAGCCTTTCGGATGGATCTGACTACTTTGGGTTAAGGGAAGAGGGAGCCCCAGTTCTCAGTCGGTCATGGGTGCTTTTGATGTGGACTTGGAAATCTCCAAGGGCAAGACAGAGCAGGTGGGTAGCTAGGAGCGGTGGGTCAAAGGGTTTCAGAGATCGCTGGGTTTCCATTCTCTGGTTTCATTTTAACAGGTTAAACAGGGAGCCATTTCTGATTGATAAAAGAGGATGAAAACAAAAGCCTTCCCGGTGCTCAGCAGGACTTAAAGAGCCCTTCTCTGGGATTTGTTCATGTGTTTAGCACACACCAATTCCACAGGGAATAGTTGTTTCTTTTCACTTCATCAGGTATTTCTTGAACTTCTGCTGTTCCTCTGCAGCCACCTCCAACTGCCACCTGGCCTTCTTCTCAAGAGAGTGGGTGACATTCGCTGGCTCAGTGTCTTCCCTTCCTTCTTGTCCCTTCTCTGCCCACCACTGATCGCCCTTTCTTGGGCCTCCAAAGGTCTCTGCAGCAGAGCCATGGAGCGTTTTAAAGTCCTTTCCCTCAGGCTCTTGGTGCCATTTTGAAGGGTTGGCCATTCCCTGTCTACTTTGTGGGCTCTGTCCTAGATTTTGTGATAGCTCTCCTTCCTGGTTCTCTTCTGTCTTTTGAGCTCCTGCTTAAGGCCTTCGAGAGCCTCCCTTTATGTCTACTCTTCCTCTTCTATTTCCCACTGTGATAATGGTCAGTGTGTCCTGCTGTTCTCTCCTTAACTCTCTTCTCTTGTCATCCCATAGTCTAGGCTCGCTCATCCACTCGAATGGCTTCAACCACTACAGACATTTACAATGCCTATAGCATGCACTGGCCTTTCTCCTAAAACACCAGTCTCAACAATGGAACATCTCTATTTGGATGTTCCATAAAGCGTCTTAAAATCAACATGTTCAGGAATGACTCTGTCTTCTCCACCTTTCTCTCGGGTCTGTTCTTCCTCTTTATTTTCCACTGTGCTAATGGCATCCTATTGTGCTAAACCCAACAGAATCATCGTAGGTCACTCCCCAGCTTTCGTTCGTTTTGTTCCTGCCTTCCTACTGGGTATAGTTTATAATATACTTTCTTGTGTCTTCTTCTCTCCTGCCATGGTTTTAGTTCAGTTCATTCTGGTCACAGCTTCTCATTAGTCTTCTTTGGGGTCAGTCCTGCCCAATCTGTGCCCCTATCTGTACTTTTCTTATTGCTGTGACAAAACACCTGACCAAGGGACTTAAGGATGGAGGATTTATTTTGGCTGACTGTTAGAGGAGATATTGTTCATAGTGGCAGAAGGCTGCTGCTGGGAGTATGAGGTGGTGATGCATTGCATTCATCTGTGGTCAGGAAACAGAGGAGATGGGGCGAGGGAGAGGAGAGAAAGAAATGTTGGTATGCAGCTTGGTTTATCTTTTCCCCTTTTTTAGTCTGGGACCCTAGCCCATGGGATGGTGTCACTCATATTCAGGGTGTGCCTTCCTTCCTCAGTTAAACTCTGTGGCATCACCCTCATAGGCACATTCAGACTTGTACCTTTCAGGTGATTCTAAATTCAATTAAGCTGACGAAGATGAAGTATCACATCACCTTATCTCTGTACAGTGTCAAATGGTCTTTCTAAAATGGATTGTGATCAGGAACATCCTTTTTGAAATACCTTCAGTGAATTTATGTATTTTTAAGAATAATGGGCCGGGCATGGTGGCGTAAGCCTTTAGTTCCAGCACTCAGGACGCAGAGGCAGGCAGATCTCTGTGAGTTTGAGGCCAGCCTAGTCTACATAGTGAGTTCCAGGCCAGTTGGGTCTACAGGGAGACCCTGTCTCAAAAAGACCCCCCTCCCCAAAAAAGGTACATTCAGGCTCTGTACAATTTGCCTTTTACTTTACTCATTGATCACACACACAGCTTATCATTCATTCCCTGTCTACATTAGAGGAACTATTTTCACATATTTTACACACATTGTTTACAAATGTGGCATATTAAGCTATTTACTAAGTATGACTTTGCTCCCTGTATTTTCTCTAAAGACTCAGCTAAAAATCACTTTTTCTTGGAAACTCCCCAGACCATCTGCTCCTCCTCCTCCTCCAGAATAGGTTAAGCAACTTTATCACATTTGCCTAAAGCTTCCCTTCCTCCTTACAAAGCCTATCAAATCCTTAAAATTCTTTATTGCAGTGATTTATGTATCTGTCCCGCTAGACTAGACTAGACTCTAAACACTTGCAGGATAGACATTACCTGCTTTTTGTTCCAAGCTCTTTAGAGACTAGTGCCCCATGTTTCAATTGAGTTGTTTCATGAATTCTTCTGAATTCTTTTTTCCCTTTCCTCCCCTCCCCTCCCCTCCCCTCCCCCCCTTCCCTTTCTTTTTCTTTTCTTCATGGTCTCATATATTCCAGACTGGTCTCACATTTCTATGTAGATCATAAGCTTCTGATCCTCCTGCTTCCATTTCCTGAGTGCCAGGATTACAGGTGTGTACCACCACACCTGGTTTTATATAATACTGGGGATTGAATCTAGTGCTTCGTGCACGCTAGGTAAATACCCTACCAACTGAGCCACATCCTCAGCCCCAGATTATCAGTGTGTGTGTGTGTGTGTGTGTGTGTGTGTGTGCACGCACGTGCACATACCATGGAGTGCATATGAGGTAGGAGGACAACTTTGTAGAGTCAGTTCTTTCCTTCCATTTTTGGGGATTCCAACTCTTATCATTAGGCTTGTATGGCAAGTGCCTTTACCCACTGAACCATCTTTCCCACCTTTTCGTGAATTCTTAAGCAATGCTTGGGAATGAGTATTCAGTTGAGGCACTGGATTAGATGACAGAGATGCAAGAGCATATGTAGAATACGACTTTTCCTATCACAGCCTTCCAGTTGTTTTAAAGAGGAAGGATTTAGAATTTTGGGGTATTTGAGATAATGCTCTAAATCTGTCCTCTACCCCGTGATCCATATCTGAATTGGGGTCGGGGAGGTTCCTCCCATCCCAGCATCTATCCTAACTACCTCAAATCATGAGAGGCTTTTTGTGGTTATTGTCTCTGTTGACTTTATGAAGGCAAAAAAAAAAAAAAAAAAAAAATCCTCCTTAGGCTGGAACCTAATGGAAACAAGGACACTGACAGAAAAGATACCCAGGGCCTCAGAATGGCCGTGGGGCAAAAATCTCCAAGGGCTCTTTAGAGAGTGAAGGAGGCTTTGGGAAGCAAGAAGTGAGAAAATGTGAATTTGATTTTCTAAAAAGATAATTCTGCATTCGGAAATTGTAGTCAGAGAGGTGAATATTAATTGCATTCTGTAGGGAGCTACTTAAACTTGAGTCTTCTTAAACTGTTTAGAGCCATGGTTCTTTTGAGATTTGGATGCACACTACTCTTCTTAGAAAAACAATATGCAAAAGGCTACACATAGTGTTTTGCATAAACTTGTAGAAGGTTCATCCAAGCCTGCCCTTCAATCCCCTTGGGTTGTTATAGACGTCTGGCTAAAAACCTCTAATCAAAGGGCTAATTAATTCAGTGGATATTTGGGAGAAGGGAGTAGGTGGTGGTTAGGAGTCAGCATAAGTCAAATTATGCATGTGTTCTGTTTTGAGAGGATCCTGTGTAATGTGTGCTAATGACCATGAACTTGGAGTCATAGGACCTGGGCTTGTGTCTCAAGAACTCTGGCACTTTCTAGTTGTGTAAATTTCTCTCTGAGTGATTATTTTATTATCTATTTTTAAAGGTGGGATAGTTGGAATTTTAGTTAAAATGAAGCATTTGAAAGCATGCTGTACTTAAAAACACCAATTTATGCAGGTGGTGCACGCCTTTAATCCCAGCACTTGGGAGGCAGAGGCAGGTGGATCTTTGTGAGTTTGAGGCTAGCCTGGTCTACTTAGTGAGCTCTAGGACAGCTGGGGGTCCAGGGAGACCCTGTCTCAAAAAGACAACAAAACAAAACAAAACAAAACAAAACCCCACCAATTTAGAATTTTAGTTACAGGAAGGCCCAAATCTCACTACATTCTTCTGGAACAGAAAATACATACAGTCTGGGCAATAACTGGCTGAATTAATTCATCAAAAGAGACCTGATTAGTGGATGCATTCACATATGGATATCTTTAGTGTGATGCTACTTACTGGGCACTGTCCTTACTTCTGATTATTTGTCATTGACATCCATGAATTCAAAACAGAGAATCATGTTGGCTTAGAGAAAAGGCATAAGGATTAGAAGTCCAGAACTTATCAGTTATTGTACTCTGTTTTAAATTTTAGTTCTGGAAAGTGTGTGAAAAGACACATATAACATGCCTTATGCATGGATCTTAAAAGTAAACTGTAACTTACTGGTTGTGTGAATGTAAGAGAAGGGGGAGATTGGAAGGAAAGGGAGACCAAG